AAAAAAAAAAGCCATTTGCTATTCCTCACCCACAGAGCCATGACCCTGTTTCTCTATGAAATCTTAATTCCCTTGAAGCAGAAAAAGATCGAGGGCAGGGTTTTACCCCACATCTAAAGTGAGAGCTGCATACGATGTCTACAGACACAAGTCTAACTGAACTCCAGAAAGTGCCAATAAGCTGCTTCTTTCGCTTTTTGTGACTCTCCTGGAAGGACAGGAGGGATAAGGTTCTGCTTCATCATCAGTTCCCGCAGTGCCATAACATCTATTAACCTAACAGGGGTTTTTTTTGCCCGTTTGCTTCGTGCGTGGCTCCAGTCTGTTGGAGAGAACACTGGCACCCGGCCCCTCAAAGGCAAAGCAGCTCAGCGATGCCCGCTCAGTGCCTGGCAGCACAGCCAGGAATGTGAGGGACAATGGGTCGAGCAGATTGGACAGGATTTATCGTGATTAAGTCAAGAAGACACAGACAGAAGAAGTGACACCACATCAAGGCTGGATGATGCTCCTTAGAGTACACAAGCGACACCAGGGACCTTCTTCCCAGCACTCAGCAAGGCCATGAACATCCATGAACCAGCAGCCACTTGCTTCAAGAGATGTCTTACTCTCTCAACTGGTGGAGAAAAGCATGCTCGGAGGCGTTGTAATCACAGCATGGTGGGGGTTGGAAGGGACCTCTGGTGATCACCCAGTCTAACCTCCTGCCAGAGCAGGGTCACGCAGAGCAGGTTGGACAGGAACGCATCCTGGTGGGTTTTAATTCTAGAGAAGGAGACTCCACACCCTCTCTGGGCAGCCTCTTCCAGGGCTCTGCCACCCTCACAGCAAAGAAGTTCTCCCTAACGTTGAGCTGGAATTTCCCATGTCCCAGTTTGTGCCCATTGCCCCTTGTCCTGTCCCCGGGCACCACTGAGAAGAGCCTGGCCCCGTCCTCTTGCCACTGGCCCTTTAGATATTGCTAATGTAATGCTGAACCACAAATGGGGCACGTTCTGCTGGTATGTCCATCACCATCTCAAGTTATTGCCAGAGGCCTTGGGGAGAAATCTATGAGCACTTTTGCCGTACTGGGTCCCCCCAAATTCATTTCTGAGCAGCTCAGTGGGGGGTTCCCAGTTGTCTCAGTCAGCACCCCCATTGCTTGAGAAAACACTTGGTGATTTATGGACAATCACAAGAACAACAGTTTTCAAAGTTTCTCAACCTGCAGAACCCAGACTAGGAACACTGAGGGAAACAGCACAGAGTCAAAACACAAATGGATGTGAGAGCTCACAGAACAATCGCTTCCTTATTTTCTGCTCAGACAGCACACCTTTGGTTCATGGTATTTCTGAGAAAAGCATCAGCTTGAGCACAAAAGTTCAAGGAATGGAAAATCTACTTTTTCCCTCCTGCGCTTCTGGACCCTCATCATTTGTTTGTACCTCGTTCCTCATTTGGCTACAGAGTTATGAAGCAGCAATGGCTGGAGTGAAGCCTTTCAACCACTGAAGAGAGATCCTGAGGGTGAGAATGAGGACTCGCAGCCCCAGAGCTTCCTCCAAACGCTTGTCTGTCGAGTGAAGTCACCTCTCAATCGTTGTTATGAACTCCAGGCTGTCACAGGACGAGGCTATGAGACTTCTCAAACGTGACGTTTGGAAAGGGCACAGTCTAAATTGCACTCATTAACACCTTTCTTTTTCTTCTCAATTTAATTTGGAGGCCAGAAGACACATGACAAGAAACAAATAGAGCCTTCTAGGAGCCTGCCTGCTGTCTAACACAAACTCCTCAAAAAAAACCATTTCTTTGTGTAGAAAATTTAACACAAAAATCACCTCAATGGGAATCACTCCAGAAAGGATAAAACTTGCTCCAAATCATAGTGGACAAGGAGAGTTTTTTCACTGTTTGTTGCAGAAAGAAATACCACGAAAGATTTTTGTCTTTTATTCCTGAGCTTCCCTTGGAAATGCTGTAGCAACGGATCACCAACATGCTGTATGAGGCTGTCATATTGTACTGGGAACAGTTCATTATTAAATTCACTCCTTTATTAAGGGCTAAAGAACTTTGTGCAGAACTCCAGTCAAAATAATGAAACCCATTATCAGCAGAACTATCTTACCGAGGCAACAGATTTGAAACACACCTTTTTGCCCAGGCCCTTCTATTTCTATTTTTAACAAGAATCAGCCTGTTTTTTTGGTGGCAGGGAAAAGAACAGCCAAGAAGAGGATCCTCACTCCTTTCTCACCACGGACCTTGTCCTCTCCTTTTCCTTTCTCCCACTCGTCTATTGGGATCATCAGCATTTTGCAGCAGGACCTGTCCCCAAGCACCATCCCCCCGGCAGCTGGCAGCAGCCAGTGGGCTAACACTGCAGGAAGAACACTTGCCAAACACCCCAGTGGCAACCACAGCAAGGTACAATTTGTGGTTTTATAAACTCTCTTGGCCCATTTTTATTTTTTAAATGTGCACAGCTCAAACCTATCCGTGACTCTCCTCAGCAGGGACTCACCTCGGCTGCAGGGCCAGCTCGTCTCAGCCTCGGGAGGACTGAAAAAGCCTGGATGGTTTATCGGGCAGCAGGAAAATCTGGGATCCATTAGCATCACTGGGATCCGTTAGCATCACTTCCCCAACACAGCGCACCAGCTTTCACCACCTCTTGTTCATCTCAGTCACAGAATCACAGAATGAAATGGGGTTGGAAGGGACCTCTGGAGATCATCTAGCCCAATCCCCCTGCCAAAGCAGGTCCACCCAGAGCAGGTCCCACAGGAACGTGTCCAGGCAGGTTTGAATGTCTCCAGAGGAGGAGACTCCACCACCTCCCTGGGCAGCCTCTGCCAGGGCTCTGCCACCCTCACAGGAAAGAAGTTCTTTCTCATGTTTAGGTGGAACTTCTCATATTCAAGTTTGTGCCCGTTTCCTCTTGTCCTGTCCCTGGGCAACACTGAAAAAAGACTGGCCCCATCCTCTTGACACCCACCCTTTAAATATTTATAAGCACTGATCAGATCCCCCCTCAGTCTTCTCTTGTCCGGACTAAAAAGACCCAGGTCCCTCAGCCTCTCCTCATAAGAGAGATGCTCCAGGCCCCTCATCATCTTCGTAGCCCTCCGCCGTACCTTCCCCAGCAGTTCCCTGTCTTTCTTGAACTGGGGAGCCCAGAACTGGACACAGTGCTCCAGATGGGGCCTCACGGGGTGGAGGGGCAGGATAAGCTCTCTTGACCTGCTGGTCACACTCTTCCTGATGCCCCCCAGGATGCCATTGGCCTTCTTGGCCACAAGGGCATGTTGCTGGCTCATGGGCATCCTGTTGTCCACCAGTCCCAAAGAGCAGGCCTTGAATTCACAAGTAACACCAAGTGACGCGCTCAGAAGGGAAACAGGAAGGTGTTTCTGCCCAGAAGCAGGTCAAGATAATTCTGGCATACCAGAACCATGTATGACATTAAGAAAAAAGCCTAACAAACAGCTTCCCCAAGAATTCCTGCCATCCCCCACGTGAGATGACACAATCTGCAGCTGAGCAGAGTAGCGTCTCACAAACTGGAGCAACTATTAATTGGCTCTTGTGTTATCAGTGTTTCAAGGACCCTTCAAAGTGCAGTTGCTGCGAGGAGAAAATGCACCTGCTGGTTGAGCTACTTTTTCCTCTCCTCATCACCTTGACCAGGGTATTTTTAGCCATATGGACAGACTTGCCAATACTTTCACCTTCAATTCTTCACAAGGAAATCTCTGACAAGGCATAGCAGTGAATGAACCACGTCTATCCGGGGGCAAGAGAGGCAGAAAGAAAGAAATGATGGGCAAAAGCAAGTTCCCCAAAAGACTTTTTCAATATTTTTGCCTTCAGTATTTTAGCTCCTCTTCTTTCCACAGGATCCTCTGTTCACACAGAGGATGTAGTACGTTTGCACCTGATTTAAGTAAGCTCAGTTTGGCCTGAGGTCTTCCTTAACAAGCCGACACGGTGGCACACAAGCAGCTTGATCAAACTCCTCCTGCCATTGCAGGAGAAATTGTCACTCAATTACACCGAGTCTCCCAGATCTACTACTGTAAGTACACGTGGCAGAAAATGGTCCAACATTGTCATCTCAGAAGGCAGAAAAACCTCATTATTCAAATAAAACAGTCTCTTCTGTCTGCTCATCTCAGCAGGTAACACGTCAGCTTCTGCCAAATCAGTAAACAGAAGCACTTGCTTCCATCAGAGCGCAGGATCCGTAAATGAGAGGGAAGACACGCTCACAGAGCACTGTTCCTATTAATTCATGTGAGGCTGGGACCACGCGTGCTTCATTAATTACTGCAAAGACTGTTACACAGCAGACTAAGCTCTGAGCTGACAGCAGCAGACACGGTCCCACGGGCCCTGGGGTTCTGCTGCCTCATGGACACAAACTATGACAAACCACTGACAGGGTAAAGGGCTGACCTCGCTACTTTGCTCAGATCTACTGTTTGTGGTAAATATTCCAGAAATAAGGAGCTTTCTATCTAGCAGGAGGGTGACTAGAGCTGGTAAACTCCAGCACATGCATTTTAATGTCCTTTACGTACTGCGATTTCAAGGGAACCTTTGAGAATCAGCACTAAGTCCCACACGGGGATTTATGACTCTTCCCAGGCTTTCCCAAATTCCCAGTCCTCGTCCAGCAGCCTGATTTGGGTGTACAGACTTCATCAGGAAATCCTTTTACTATTTTATAATCCCTTCATCTCTCATAGCATCTTATATTTACTGTCCCATTTGACACACTTTCTGCTCTCCTTTTGTCATCAAATGTTTCCCCACATGGAAAACTGGTCAAATTTGCCAGACGTTGATACACTTTCATGTACAAAACCCGTAAATACGCTCCCAACACAACCAGAACCTAATTCATGGCTCATCTTAAGCCTCTCAAGTCTCCTATGTTTGTCCTGAGAAGGTCAGGTGCGCCAGGAAGAAAAAAAATATTTAAAAATATATTCTTAAGTAGGTACCTTTTCAGACAAGGCCTTTAGACTGTCTAGAAACCTCTGCCAGAAATCCTTGAAGAGGGGGCGATCGATCCTCTTCAGGCTCTCTCTGGTGCTCGCGTCCACGCTGACGTACAGCTGCGTTACCGGCTCGAGGTTCCTTGGAAATGAGAAGGAGAAGGGAATTGTTGTTTTCAGACATTATTGTCAGCTGGATTTGTGTTTTCCTACCAAAGCACACCTGAAATACGGTATCTCTGAACGAGCTGCTCCACAGGTCCAGTAGTGGTAGGACTATGGAGTATTTACAGGGAAAGCTATCAAAGGCCAGTGGTTCATCTCCACCAAGTGAGCATCACCTTAATAGTGAGATGTTACAACCTATTTTCAACAAATAACACACCCCGAAGCTGAAAACATCACACACAGAGGCCTTGGCTGACATTTCCATTATCTTTTCCTCACTGAACTGGAACACACTCCATTCTGAAAGGCCTCCCAACTTAAGCTGCTGGGGGTTCACACCAAGCACTGAGAGCTCTGTTTCTCACCACAGCCCCCACAGTTAAAAAATCATAAAGCTCAGTTCCTTCCCCAAGTTCTACTTGCCCCAGCCCATGGAAAAATAATGCCATTCAATAGAAATTCAGCCAGTTTCTCCTGCAGGACACATTGAACTTACCTGACCTGCAGCTGGCAGCATCAGTCAAATAATCTTTTTGAAGGGAAATCAAAGCTGTTTAGAAAATAAACCCAGGCACAATCCCCCCCAGTGTGTTCTCCTTCCACTTCCAAGGGTTTTATTTCATATAAATCCTGTGATATAGTCTTTCTGGTCACATAATGCTGGTGAGCACAGCATCTGTGAGCCCAACACCAGTAACTTCTCAAAAGATTAAACCCGCTCTGCCGTGAGAAGAGCCCAGGTTGAGCCTAATCCCTTCCCTAAAGCCCCAGGGAATAGAAGAGCAGCAGCGAGGCCGCAGCCCATTAGCGGTGGGATAATGAAGGGCATTAAGAGGAACAACCTAAAATGAGTTCCCGTGTCACAGACAAAGCTGATAAAGGCACTGAGTGTAACAGACACTGACACCTCGGAGCATCTTCCGCCCCGCGTCCCCCAGACAAAGTGACAGCACCCAAATTGCACCGTGTAACTCTCTCCCTCCTAACAGCTTTAGGACAATGTTTTCCAAGCGTTTTTTGTGAATTCTGTTAATGAACAGGGCACAGTCACAGCCTGATTGGGTTCTTTATAGAAGCTGAGAAGAAATTAGAAACTATTGTTCAGCTGCCAAACAGTGCCACCTAAAAATACACCAAACTCCCTGCCCCCCCCAAAGGTGACAAAGGGACAAGAACTGTCCAGAATGAGATTGAGCAGAGCTCTGAGCATCCCGAAAAATCCACTTAACATGGGCACTCAACCAACCTATCTAAACACATTCTTACTATATTTATTTAGACAGAATAATGAAATAGCCAGAACAAATTTAATATTTTAAGCTTTAAAACCCCTGTTTTGTAAACAAGCTTGTCTGGACGGGCAGCCCAAAGCCACAGTCTCCAAAAATGACCAAATGTTCTAGGTGTAAGTGGATTGAAGTGTTCAGTTTCAAAGAACACAGCCAAAATACTCTCATCTTTACTTAATGCTGCATTTGCCTAATTAAAAGGGGCCCCGCTGAAGATGGAGCGAGTGATTTTCAAAACACAGGCTGAGAAAAATCATCTCTTCTCCGAGAATCTCAATCTTAAGGACAAGCAAGAGCCAGACTCACTGTTGTACTGCAGAAAATCAAGGAATTAGAAGAGGTCCCAGGGAAGGATTTCTGCCCCATGGTGCTCCAAAACAGACTGGTCCCAGGGCTCTGCCATGGCCAGGACTGGAGCCAGGATGGCTCATCCATGCTCTGCTGCAGGGGGACAAGGACCAGGGGCAGCCCCAGGGCCAGCCAGCACCAGGGAGCAGCAGAGCACACACTGGTGTTCCCAAAACACAGCTACATTTCGTAATTAACAGGCAATTTAGTTGCATGGTACTAGGATGGATTTTCCAATGTTCCTCCTTAGTTTTTGGATGCCATTTCCAATCTAGCTTAGGCAGCTGAGATCACACCCAGAAGATCAAATTCACAGCATTTACCACATAGGAGCTTGGGCAGGAACCACGGCCGAGGAGCACATCACAGCTCCAGAGCAAGGAATTGCCTTCAGGCTGCCAAGCCATGAGGGGGTTTCAGCAGCCAGACAGGACACAGCCCAAGTCAATGATACAGAGACCAGAACCAGCAATATAATAAAAATGACTGTTTTCTTACAAGCCATAATAAGCATCTGCTCACTATTATTGTTATTGATGCTCATAAATGCACACACACATGCAAGGGTCCTCGTTCACAGCCTTTAATCAGAAACAAAAGGAGGAAGAGGACGAGAGCCAGGTAACTGCTCCATACAAGTTTCTGGGCCATAAAATCTCCTTCCCTTGATGAAAAGACATGTGTGCCTGGAGGGAGATGGAGCTGGGGGCTGAGTACAGGAGGGAGGGGGAGAGGGGG